TCTGTTAACGACGAGGTGGATCTTTGCCTTTTTCATTTATAAGAAGCAACACTAAAAATTTCTCTAAGGTTTTTTCATGGTCAGAACTTTTTCCTCATGTTCAATTCAAACATGTTGAGTGCGGTATAACTCAACTTTCTCTAAATTGCAAAACAGACCCATAGACTTCACACAAACGTCAGTTTTGATGCAGTCTTTGGGAAAAACCAGTTCAACTGTCTGTCTCCTTTTCCTACCTGTTCGTATGGCATCAATTGGTTTTGACTTTGAGTTCACCGCATGCCTAATGAAAGCAGATACTTGTGTGCAGAACCAACAAGCTGTTTATTTATCAAATGCTGGTCCAGTCTTCTCTTCAAGAGGATTATTTGGCTTTTTGGTCTGTCACTTCAATTAGAAAAGCAGCCAGACAGATGCATCCTCTGCCAGTCAATACGGATATTGTAAACACTTGCTCTTGTCAAACTTGATGCCACTGAGATATCACAAGATGGCAAATTTAGCTAACTAATATAACTGATGCCCTAATGTATCTGGAGTCTTGCAACGCTTGTGACAGCACTAAGTGATGCTGAGTTCGGGTTTATTGTGTGCTCCCTATTCAATCCATACTACGTGAATTATAAACTGTTTTATAGTTCTCAATGCAATTTTTAGTGGCAAGTTATCAAAAGTGTGCATGTCCTACAAAGGCTGGGTTCCACCTCTATAGTGATGCATTCTGAATTAATATTTTCAACCATGTAAAGCAAATTTGGAAGTATAAAGTAGTAAGACTGCCTAAATTCACTGTCAGTTATATAGCTTGAAAAGCCAACTTGGTGTTAGACATAGTAATACCTTATTAAAATAGGACTTCATGAGGGTTCGCAAGAATTTTGCATTCCACTTCTGATTTCTAGACATTAAACAAATTAATGCTTGAAATTCTACTAGAGGTCCACCAAATCCTAGCTAATATTGCTCATTTATTTCTTTGTGCAATTACAACTAAACCACAAAGTATTAAAATCTGAAACTCATCCAAAGTTTGAAATGCCAACGGGCTGTTTGAGGATCCATTACCATCATGTTTATAACCAGTGGTTGCTTTGTTGTTTTAAAACAGGTGAACAACTTATTAAAAACTCAATTAACCTAAAGGGTAATATTTTCTAATGAGATCAAGTATAGAAAGTTTCAGGATTAAAGAAAAACAGTTGAGTAAGAAAGGAGAGGTAAATTACAATGTTGACAGGACAATTCAGAGCATGAGGGGAATAAATCTTGCACAAAAGCCATGTTTTCTACATTGGAGTGTGCACTCCACTGCCTCCCACCAGTGTTTACCACACATAGGAAGGTAATTGTTGTTCCTGCTAAAGAACCCAATAAAATAACTCAAGAAGTAAACTACTTAGAATTCTAAATCTCATTTTTTAAAGTGTCATATCACTTATCAGTGTAATATAATGAAAGACATTAGGACACAGATTTCTAAGTTCTTGGAGTCTAGATCGGGGAAAGGATTTAGATTTAACTCAGACACCACAATTTTTTAGATATAAAAACTCAGAAGTTTTTATATGTAAGTTTAATACTCAGAACTTCTCCCATCAAGAGAAGCTGGAGAAATCATAGCTTAGTTCTCCAGAAAAAAACCCAATCAGTCTGGAAATCAGCTATTTCTCCCAAAACATCCATCCATAACAAGGTAGCCTTGTCTGAGGAAGAGGCAGGTTGCTCTTCACGCTCCCCAGCCTGCGAAGGTTCAAACGGACAGCACACAGAGGAACTCAGCCCTTAACTTGCAGCCATGCTTAGCTGAAGCTGTGAAACTTTCGAAGTGCATTTGGTTTGTAGTGAATAAGTTTCTTCCAAAAAGCATCGTTCATAGGAAGCATGGACAGGTGACTCCAAGTCCAGGGTCAGCTCCAGGCTTGCATCAAACATCTCCCTGATGGTTCTTTGCCGCATCGTCCTCAGCCAGCTAGGGCTGTTTGTGCTTACAGCTTTGCGGAAGTGAAGATGTTGGAACACAAATGCTTCAGCACCGAAAATACGAGATTAATAGGGTCAGCCGCAGCAGTACTTAGGCGAGGTTCACTCTAGGAGACCCCATGCCTTGGAGATGGCCTTGCTGAGGTAAGGCATGGACCTGTCCTCTGCTGTCACTCCTGGCAAAGTCTCACCCATCACCATCCAGGGGCGAGTCCTCCAGGGTGAGGTTATACAGTCACTCCTGTTTGCAGCTACTGGTTTCAGTCCTTCAAGCCAACCAATGAAGTTGGTTGAACTGGTGAACGCTATTAGCAGTGAAGGTTTCTTCAACAGCAAGGAAGGAAGCTGTCTCATCAACTCCACTGTTGTCAAAATGCTAAAGCAGCTCTGAAAACTCTGCATCTGGTTGGGAAAGCCCCCCCTGAAGCAGAAGACACCGCAGGCAGATGACCTAATTTGGCCACCTACCTACGGCATGATTCACCACAGCCTAAGTGCCTGTTTCCGTCAACTGTGACCCAAACCAAAGGAAATGCGATCAGAAAAGATACCTAAAGCCCTAACTCACAAGCCTCAAAATGTAAACTTAAAATGATAAGCCTCATAAAGAAGGAATAATGAGGAAAAATATCACCTGGACATACAGGGAAGCTTTCTGCGTGTTGTAGAGGAGTGAGGGAGACAAGGGAGGGGCAGGAGTGGCAAAAAAACCCAACCAAGCAAGATCAATCATCATCAGAGACCTTTTCCTACTGTAGTAAATGCACTTAAGATCAGCCAAATTCAGATATTACCACTGCCAAGCTGGAGCGGCCCCATCTCACACCAGGCATGCACAGCAAAGACGCCATCGCTCATCTCCATGCCCCAGAACCCAGAGTTCTGCATCGGCAGAAAGCCGGGTGCCTTTTGTTGGCTCAAAATGTGACCGACTCCACATGTAAATACCGATACCTCCAAGGTTAGATTCCCCACAGCACAGAAAAAGAAGATGCAGAGACAAATACTCTTTCAGTAATTCATTTTTACTGAGCAAGTCTTTTCGCCGTGAGCTCACAAACTAGACCTCAGTCCTTCTGCTTCACAGGAACTTCTCCACTGCTACTTTGTCAGCCAGAAACAGCTTAGAGTTCAATTGCCCTTGCCGTTTCTTGCTCAAACATTGCTCCTACTCCTCCCTCAACTCCTCAGCAGGCACAAGCCCTATTCCTTCCAACCACAGACCAGACCATGTAGCTGCTTTGCTACAAAAGGAGTCCCAAAGAGGTCTGGATCCTCTTGACTCCCTTGATGGCTGATCAGGGCTACCCCCCACGGTTGAAAGTCTCTCCTCCTAGGGTGGATGCCACTCTGGCTGCATGCACGTTCGTGACCATTGAGCATCCAAAGTCATCTTCTTCGCCACAGTGTTAGAGGCGATGTTGAACAGCAAAAGACATTTGACAGCTGCTGATGGTCCTGTCTTCTGCTGTACCAGGTGGTTCCCAGGACTCACAATGAAGCTGAGATGACACAAAGCGCTCCAAGGTAGAGATGTTTTAGGTAACCAAAGACCTGTCCATTTAGGGCTTGAAGGCAATGACTATGCCTTAAAACATGAGGGAAGAACCAGCTCTGCATTCCTGTGGCCATCTGCACTGCAGACACGGATGCAATAAATCCCTTTAAGCGCAGGAAGGAACGCAATTAAAAAGATGACGGATGCCAGGAGGCTTCAGGGCAGCAGCCACCTTCCTGCATTGACCTTCTCCCTCTCATAAAGGGTTCAGTAACCGCCCTTCATTCTGGTCATCCTTGCAAATCATTAGGTTTGCTGAAGAGCGAAAATGTCAAGTAACATCAGTGCCTCCAGGAGCTCGATGCAGGCTTGGCGTAGCAGGAGGGTACGACCGGCATCTCAGATCAGTCCAACAGTCCTTGCAGTGTTCGTATTTACTGTAGAAGCAGAAGGCAGTGCCGCCCTGCTGCCAGCGTGCCCTTCCCTGACAGGTCCTACAGGTCACCAGCAGCATTGGAAGCTGCTGCTAGGAGCAGTTTTTGGTCTCCTCCTGGTACATATGGGTCCCATGCTGCTTCTGCGCTAGGTCCATGGATGCTTTCAAGGTGAAGGAGTTTTGGTGCACTGGATTGCTGCTAGAGTTGTCTTGCAGCCAAGTTTCCAAAGAGAACAGATGGATTCCAATTGTGTTAATAGATTGCTCTAGAGACCTTGCATTTTTCATGTCAGAAATAATTTTTATTTCTTTTCAAACCAAAAATAGTACCTACAGTGATTAAAAACCCACTTCCCTCCCCCCACCCCTCCAAAACCCCAACCATAACAAAGATAATTGACTAATCCAACCTTGTGAAACTTCAGGAGACATTTCACTGGAAGGGTAAATTTTTACATGTGGTATGTGATAGAAATAATATCTACCGTACAGTTCTAGAGGAATTAACCAAGAAGGAGAGTTATGGTGAAGAAAAGTTGTACATCAGTCCTAATTCAGTAAAACACTTTGCTACGTTGCCCATAAGAAGTCCCATTTAAGACATAAGAACTACACACAGCCTTACAACGGGCTGCATTCTGCTGTATCTCCCCAAACTGGGGACTGCAAGCACAAACTCTGAACTTGAAAACCATATCTGAAATTCCCTAAGCCTCTGTCTCTACAAGATAGGCAAATCAAGATTTTAACGCTAATGCGTGATGACATTAATGTGCATATATTCTTCAACTGACATTTATCTGGCATGTTGGAAAGACTAGTATTTATCACTAAAACTATTTATACAGATGCCTGAACATCAAGTGGATTTGACCAATACTATAGCATCACGTCCTGTCAAAATCAGTCACCTCTTGAATTGACCTAATAGCTACAACAAACGGCTTGTAAGCCACTCACAGATCGACAATTTCATTCAAAATAACGACACTAACAAACACATTCAAGATACAACACTTTTCTTGGAGGTCAGGTCACAAGCAAGAGGCAGCATTTGCAGGGCAAAGTACTGAGTACTTGTACAGTTCAGCTGGCCTCTGGCTCTCCCCTTTTGCCATCTTTTGGTTCCCAAGATGTAATCTCTGGTGGGATCTCATTTTTTTCTGTCATCCTGACCACTTTTCCTTTTGAAATGTTTTCTTCAGAGTGGTCACGTTTTACCTTCATTTCCATTGGGTCATCTGTATCATCTACGGCAAGAAGGAAAGAAGAATTGAAGTTTGCAAGTCCTTCTCTGACTTTAGTACAACAGCCCACAATGACAGTAGCAGGTGAAGTTACAAAGCATGTCAGAAAATGCTTCTATTTACAGGCAACAAGAATAATGCTGGGAGGAGGGGACTCTGGTTCTCAGATTTTGGCTTTCCATATCTCCAATAGCAATCACAACAACATTTACTCCCCTGTACTTCAGGGTTTGTGGAAGAACATTGGTTATATCTGGAAGGTATCAGTGTGCAACCTCCTGGATATATTAGTATGCACAGGATTGGGAACAATTCATTCCTTCTGACCATAGCTTTAATGCTTAAGACTCCCCTCAGCGGCTGCACGTTGGATTTCTGTAATATAGAGAGAGGCTGCTATGGCGTACTGTTCAATACAAAAGCATTGCTTCACTTACATTGCTGACGAGGATTCCTCTGAGGCTAAGAGTTCACCACAGGCCCCAGGATTTCAATTTTAAGAGCACAGGTGCCATAAGTGAAACATCTGTGTGACTGGAAATACCTAATTAATTCAGGCTCCCCCAAAGTTTGAGTGTTCCAGCCTTACCTGATAATTACCTTAACATTACCTTACCATAACAAACCTGATGGTTTGTTATGAATATGCTTAACCTATTTAGAAAACAAGGTCAAAAGGTAAATTTCTTAGAGCAACTCATCTCTGAAGGGCTTTTTGCTCAATAGTGGTCAGTGGGAATCTCAAATAATTCCTTCTACAGGGCAGGGTAGATCATGGTAAAAAGGACAAACAACGATGCTGTGGTTTGCAAGAGGCATGGGCAGAGCTGCAGAGACTTCTGTACCTTGGAGATACACCTGACGAACCTGGGGGCTGGGGAGTCTGTTTGTGCAGACCTACAGAAGGTAGAGAAGGTCTGCTTTTGGGAAGGCATTCCTCCAGCAGACAGAAGCAAGCTCCCACCCTGCAAGGGCAGCCAGAAGGGAAGGGACACTGCTCAACCTCTGGTTTTCCCTCTTGGGACGCCATTTTAACAGTAACTAGAAGAGCAGCACATGGTGTTGGTAACCAAGAGGAAAGGAGTCCTGGAAAACAGCACAAAACCAACTCCCAAAGCCCTCAGTTCCTGGTGACAGCCTCTGCATTGCAGTATGCTGAATACACAATACCTCTCGTGAGCTGGGCTGTTCTGTACTGTTCCTCTCTGACCTGTTTCATCAGCTGCAGGTTGTGATCGCTGGCTTCCTTGTGATTCACCATTGGGAAGGGGTAATCTTGACCTGGTGCAACACAGAGACAGTGACCTTTACAGAACTAATCAAGGACGTTTCAATGGATTTGCACCAGGGCAAACGTTTGCAGCTTTTCTTAAAATAAACAGCATCTAAGATAGACCACGTGCCCCACTCTTGAGAAGTGCCTATTTCTCTCCATCAAAGAGTAAGAGCTCCTCTTTAGACATAAGCTTATAAGAGACTTCAAAGATGCATCAGAGCAAGCGTAAAAGCACAAGATGTTCACATACTATTTAAAGACAGCCAAGCATCCCAGACAGATAAATGCAAAGGCAACAACTTAGTGTGATCCAACAGATTTAGGACATGAAGTTGAAGCAAAAATATGTACTCTGAAATTAGACTCCAGCAAAAAACTTTAAAGGAGAATTGACAGAAGGTAGACTGCTGGATTAATCCCTTTTCAGAAGACAAATGCATGACTTGCGTTGGAAGTGTGACGCTTCCATCTCACATGTGTAATTATTTTGGACAGTTAGCAGCAGCAAAATCCTTAACAAGGTATCTGAATGAATTACCTATGATACACCCCGCTTGCTTCTGCGCCTCTTCAGATGCTGTCCAGGGCTCGTAGATGTACTTGGAGGGGAAGTTCTTTAGTATAGGCAAGTATTTCCTACAAAACAGAAATAATATGGGGTTTTATAATACTGCAGACAAATACATTTAAGAGAAGTGTAAACCAATCTATGCCATATTAATTCTTGGTGATCATATTGCTACTACAATCCGTGGGAAAGTTCCAATTCATTTTGCACAAAAGAACTGGTTCTGGTTCTGAAACCTCCATAGGGTGATATCTTCCAAAAGTTAACTTTACAGCATAGAATAAATGGGTTGATTTAAACATTACTTCAGTTTTGATTTCATCCAAAATATTTTGGTTTTTAACATTTTCACTGACATTTCATCCTAAACTTTAATACATTTCAAAACCAAACTAATTACAAAATCTAAAAAATTCTTACAGAATGGGAAAGTAATTTTCTGTCCCACTCTGTCAGGTATGTCAGCGTGGCCTTCCCCTTCACAATACCCAAAGCTAGATAGGATGTGAGGAAGAGGAGAAGTGGGAAATGCAGTTGTTCACTTGACAGCAACACAGTCTGCTCCTATTGCAGTCAGCCGTACAATCACCCACCACTTAGGAGAAAGCCCATCAGTACTTTATCGAGAGATAAGGAAACTGAGACTCTGAAGCAAAGACGACTCACTTAGAGTGGAAAATAAAACCTAAATGTCTGAAATTAATCAATCAGACCACCTACAAAACCAAGACACACAGCACAGACTGGAGTCGGGGGAGCTGTGGGAAGTTTTCCTCAAGTCCTTTAGAAAGAGGAGTCAGCCTGGTGATCAAACACAGTGCTGGAGCCAACAGATGCTCACGAACAATACAATGCCCTGCTCAGTCATCACCTGTGCAACCACGGGTACGTCTCTCTGCTTCTCTGTGCCTCAGTTTCCTTACATGTTAAATCAAATCATTGCCATGACCCCTGTTTCACAGGTGTATGTGTTTCAAACAGACTGAGTTCCTCAGCTCCTGCTGTAAGAGGAGCCAGGCAAGCTCTAACGGAGCGGACGGTGCCACGCTGTGCATCGCCGTACCGGATGTACTGCCCCTCGGGGTCCGTGCGCTTCCCAAAGAGGACGGGGCAGAAGATCCGCGTGTACCGGTGGAAGAACGCGCTGGCCGACAGCCACATCCAGTTCCCTGCATTGATGCTGTAGTCAGCATCTAAAAGTAGCTCTTCAAACACCTGTACTTCAGGGATGGGGAAAGAAAGAGAGAAACACCCCTGAAATGGCTACGTGGCAAAAAATAAACAAAATCAGGCTGGGAGGTGAAGGGTGAAGGTCGCTGCTAAAAGCACAGCACTGTGCTGGTCTGGGCTGCCCTTCTCACAGGGCACAGAGGGAAGGCTCTCCAGCAAGACAGTTTGCCAGAAGGAAGACAGAGCAACCTGAAGCCCAAAGGTCTGGCCTTGAGGCCTGCTGTAGACGGAGCAGCTGTCCAATGTCCTCATCGTCCAAAAGTCGTCAGGCCTTGGGGACGGGAACAACTTCTCATGGCCGCACCGAGCGCAGCAGGGCTCGGACTTGAGCGAGAGACCTTGAGATTTCATAAACCATGAGATTTCTAGCAAGGCTCAGTAACGAACCACTGCTCTACAGTATCACCTCCCACTGCCAGGCTCACGTTTTGCAGGGGTTTCTCAAGGTCAGCCATAATAGAGAAAGCAAAAAACCAGAAGTGAACCTTCATGCCCTCTTCCCAGCTGATCCAAAGGTCCCCTCGCGTCAGGAAGCAGGCGACAGCGTGCCGAGCAAGGTGATGGATCCAGCCTTCCTGGCGCAGCTGGGTCATAATCGCATCGATCCACGGGAACCCTGTCTGTGCCTGCAGCAGAAAAGAAACATCAGCCCTCCGCACAAAGCTTCTTTCCTACACACTGCTGTGAGTCCCACCTCAAATAGCCAGCAGGGACCAAGCCCAAGGCAATAGAAAAAACTCTACACTGAAACGCAGCAGTTGTGGCAATGTGTCTTGTTACCGTTTTCCATTTGTGGAGCTTCTCTGCATCCTCATACCAACTGATCTGAAGGCAGATGGGGTTCCCAGCCATTTTGGTGAAGTTTGGTGTTGCAGATGCCACCGTATAGAAGAATTCCCTCCATAGAAGCTGCCCTTGGAGTGACACAGGGGGCAGAGAGTGATGCTTGGCCTGCAAAAGACACATGAGGTGAAAGCTTCAGTTCATATATACCATTGCAGTCTCACTCATTTTGTGACTGTCAGGCCCATAAAATAAAGATTAATCTAACTAACACTACTGGCTTCGTGGCACTTTACCATGAAAGCCAAAGAAATCAAAGATCTGAAGTAATGCTATATGCCCAAAAGCAAAGTTGAACTCTGTTAGACCTCAGCGTTACCTCAAGCATTCTCTACCTGCCTTCCAAAATGGTGTCACACTGGGATTTCTTAAACCAAACATGTGTTTATTAACACATTAACTGCTCGGCTAGCTGAATTCAGGTGGCTCAGCCATGTCTCAAGAGATACTCTTATGAAGGAGGTTCAGGGAGACCTTGGTTTTCTTGAGTTGGCTTCAACTATACTTTTTCTTAAGAATCAAACAAGTTTTCAGAAGTTGGTTTTGGCTTACGCTATAGTTAAAACTTATCTCAGATGAAAACAGATGACTTCTAAAAACAAAACTGCTTGAACAGGCTAAACTAATAAAAAACTTCACTTAAACACCAGGCAGACACCTCGAATTTCTTGAATTTTAGGAAAGTTTTCCTGGGCTTCCCTGCTACTTCCAGGTCTCACTACTTCCTATTTATCATATTTCTAAAACTTAATCGGGAAAAGCTGTACACATTCACAGGTGTTTCACAAAATATATAAAGCCACTTCATAGATTTCACAGGACGCTGTGAGAAGGCATTAGCAAAGTAGCATTTTTTGATACATCAGGTCTCTACCAAGATGATCCAAGTGTTGTCACATACCAGACACGTGAGAGTGCTGGATTTGCTTAACTATGACCAATTATTTTCTTACCTGAGCATAAATGTTTGACAATCTATAAAAAAAGGTGCGAACTGACAGACAGCCCATACTGAAATATGGGCTCAGGCCTGTGGTGCTTGGAAGCAGCGAATTTGGGATTGTTCTCGGTTTAGTAAAATTTGCCACCCAGCCCTAAAATGAAAACAGAAATCCAGGTTCAGGCAGTACAAGGTGACGCATGTCCAGCTAATGAAACAGGGGAAAAAAAGAAAAAAAAACACACAAAAAACTCTTGGCAATTGGCTTCTGCATCACAGAGGCCTGTTCAACATCATGCCTGGAAAATGCTCCCACCGCCCATCCTCCCACAAACGCCACCATCAAAATCTTGAGACCAGGCTGCCATCCTCCTCCAAGGTCTCCAAATACATAGACCTCCTCCAAGCCCAACATCAAGGCCACGTCTCACCCAAGGGTGCTGTGAAGCTCTGCTCCCGGGGAACAACTCTCTCGGTCCAACAGCACCGCACTGAAGATCTTTTCCACTTTATGAAACTGGGAGCGGGTAAAGCATCTGCTTAAAAAAAGCCAGCGCCAAGGCAGGCTTGGCTGCCAAGAGCTGAGCCCTGGTGGCAAAAAATTCAGCTAGAGCTGGGACAGCTAAGCCATTTCTTGAGGTCCAGACACAACCACACACAAAAGGAGCAAGGTGGACACAAACCTCAGCCCATCTACAGCCACCATCATCACCCATGTAAAATCAAGGCTGACCTGGTCAGTCAAGTGTTGCTCCAGACGCTGTAGCCCTTCGGTCTCCCCTCCTCTCCAGGGAGAAAGGCTCTCCAAGGGGATCTTCAAATCCACGGGGAGAGGCACCCTGTAACGCTCAGCCAGGCTTGGGTCAGGGGGCCTACATCTCCTAATGTGAAAGAGAAGCCTCCTTCAAAGAGGGAACCGGAGCCAGAAGAGGGAGGAAGACTCCTGCCCATTTGCACACGCCAAGATCTCTGTCGCGGCACAGCCAGAGCACAGGGGAATGAAAGCACAGCCAGAAACCCCAGGCTGCGCTCTCCTTGGGGAAGAAAGAGCTCGTCCTGCAATTGCTCCAGGTAATTCTAGCCTGAACTGGGGAAAGAGGAACAGACCCACCAAATTACAGCGCTCAGAGCAGTCAGCTGCAGCTCCTACAGCTTGGACACCCCTCTTGCTTCCCATCTGCTACATAAGGCTTGGAGGTATCTCCTCTCCAGCTTCCCCTAGCTGTCTCATCCATCCCTGGGAGGGAGCTAAGAGCCTCCTCAGACTCTAAACATAATTACAGGGCACTGGCAGTGCCTCCAAAGGCAGCTCCAGCTCCTCTGCCTCTGAGGAGAGGTTGCTCTGGGAGAGGTTTCATAGGGAAGGAGGCAGATCAGCTCCCTGGGCTGCCTCCCCAGCTGCTCTGTCCTAACCAAGGTGGGGGCTCCCCAAGCCCACCCCTCTGAGCAGTGCCCCCACATCTCTTCTGCAGCCTCAGCTGCTGAGGCTTCCCCATGAGGCTGGAAAAGCATCAGGGTATGCTTTTCCCCCCACCGCCCGTAAAACACAGAGGTTCAAGGAAGTGTCAGTGGTATGCAGACTTCTCAAAAACCATGAATGAACTCCGATATCAACAGAGATCTTTCTACTTACCTGGAAAAAACCTGAGCTCAGCTCTGTTGCAGATACCTACAGGAGAAGGGGTCAGTGCAGCTCTCAGAGCACTGACATAACACATCATTAATTTAAAAAGTGCAAATAAACAAATTAGGGAAAAAAGGGAAAAAGAAACAGTGCAAGAAAAAAGATAGTGACTGATATATCCCAGTACTTACATGGGTCTCATCATTGGACTATCTGAGGACAACATTCGGGAATTAACAGGATTCCCCCAAGATGGGAAGACCTAAGCCTAGGTTACCATCACAGAGCTGAGGTCACGCAGGAGGCACCTGACCCAGAAGTCCCAAGTTTCTGCAGTCCCATCCCCAGTGGCCAGCTCTCTCCTACCCCAATTTTACCTCGCTTTGGATCACTGATTTCTCCTCACGCAGGGCTAAACATAAGACACCTCTGACTCTGAGCTTCTTCTCAAGTCCTAGGAGATGTGAGTTCCATCCCTCCTTCCCATATAGCAGAGGGGAGGAGAGAAGAGATTTAAAGCCAGAAGGGAACAGTATGATTATTCCACCGAACTTCCTGCATAAAACAAACCACAGTGGTTTATCCAATTCCTGCCCTAAATCTTGATTTGAGAGGAATCTAGAGTATGTCTTGGAGAAAGAGACCTGTAATTCCTTAGTCATTCCTCTGTTAAACTTTTACACATCTTAAAAGATTTCTCAGTGTGCCTTGCAAAAGCTTCAGTCTTTGGACCGTGCCACCTCTCATCTGCTCTCCCCTGCCAACAGCAGAGTCACGTCCCCTGTACATAAAATCGATAAACCTCCATGCGTAGAAGTAAAGCAATGTAACATCTGAAATACCCCATTATCATTTGGCCCTGGCTCTTCTTTTAAGTAGAGAAAAAAGACCTGCAATTTCCTGCTGGCTAGCTGTTACTTACTGGAAGTCTTCAGCTGTAACGTTTCGGACAGGCACCTCGGGGTCACCGAGCAGAGACAGAACATGAAGGAACCTCTTGTATGTTAACGGGGGAGTCCCACCGTTTAGGTCCAAAATCCTAAATAAAACAAGATCACTTTTCACCATAACACAAACCAAGAAGGCAGCTGGAGCTGCCAGTGACTAGGAAGGTGACAGCACAGACTGGAACAGCCCCGGTTCGTACAACTGAATGTGGAAATTACAGATTTTACAAGTAAAACCTCCCTGGGTGAACGTACATCCATCCCAAGAACAGTCTCTCAGGACTTGAGACAACAAAACTGGGACCAGGATGCCAGCCATGGCTTCAACTGAGCAGCTCTGTACAGCCAGACACAGCCAGGACGGAGAGGGTAAGGTGCAGGACACCCCTGGGGCTGCCAGAGGCAGTCAGATCACAAAAAACAGGTTGGGGGCAAGAAATAACTCTTCTCTGTGAGCAACCACCTGTGCGAACAGACAGCTTGAATTCAAGATGGCAAGTCACATACATCCATTCATTTATGTAAAGTAGAGGTTTTCCAGAATTGGAGTGTTAAGGCTGTTTTAGCTATTACTGATTGTCGTGGTGTAGCCCCAGCCAGCAAGTAAGCACCACACAGCCGCTCGCTCGCTCCTCCCTGTTCCCAGTGGGATGGGGAGGAGAATCGGA